CTCCATCCACTGTTAGAGCGTGGGTGTCTGTCCACCAGGACACTATTGCCAATGCTTTCGAGTGTGCTTCTGGTGCACTCTTCAGGAACTTTCGCCACATCAGGTGTGTGCAACGGGCCTGATCTGGGTCCATGGGTGACTGCTCATCATTCAGAGCACCATAGATCATCTCAAACACAGCCAGTTCCATGAGGTTCTGGATGCCCTTCTCAATGCTGGTCCATTTGCCCAACTGACATAGGATATCATCCTTGTAGGGGTGCCTCTCCCTTACACTGAGCAGGAGTCGCTTCCAAAGGCTGAGAGTTTGAGCCTGTTTCCCTATTTCCCTATCAATGCCATCATCCCTGGCCAAAGATCCCAGCTGCTTGGCCTCTCTCCCCTCCATTTCAAAAGCACTGGCTCCATTGTTCCAGCATCGGAGCAGCCAGGTACAAATCTGCTCAGCTCCCAGGCGGCTGAAATCTCTCCGCATATCTCGCAGCTCAGTCGGGGACAGAGATCGGACAATCACCTCTGGTCCTTCCTCCTGTTCCCCTGATGGGCCTGGCTCATCCTCATCCCTCACTCCATGAACAGACTTTCTGGTATATTTTGTTTTCTGTATCGGGGTGACTGACACTGGCACTGCCTGGCTCTCTGGCTCAGTCTGTGTGCTGGTGGAGGCGACTGAGACTGGCTCTGCCTGGCTCTCTGGTTCAGATATTGTTTGTGTGGCCTTTTCTTCCCTTTGAGGGCAGCAGGTGGTATTAAAGAGGACACGGTATGCATGGGCAAGTCCCCAACACATTGCAGCGATTTGTGTCTCCTGGGTTTTGCCAGCTTGGTAACACACCCTTTCTAAGCACTCCATCAGCTTCTCAGTGCTCAGGAGTGAAGTTCCAAAGCATTGGGGGTGCCCACCGACTCAGGCCTTTGCCCATCTTTTCCCACACCCCTTGCCACTCACTATTATCTGGCCTCGGGGCAGGTTTCCGGACATTGCTGTTGTCAGAGCCGAAAACCAGGCAGACATTCAAAAGGCATTGTGCCACAATCACACTGGCCTGCGGGCTCCATGAATGGTTAAAACTCCCCAAAGCTGAGAGGATCTCTTCCCCTGGCTCACCCACAGAGGGGGTGATACCCCTAACAAAAAAACAAACGGCAAACAGGTACCGGCCCACCCCCACACACAGCGATACAAAGGCAGCATAAGCATTCAATAGCCAGTATAACAACATAAGACCGTTTGCACATTTTCCACTGATAACAAACACCACCACTGGGATTATACACTGGATATAAGGGTTAATCCAGCCCCCCCACGCAAGCAAATGGGCCAGCATTGCAAACATTTTCTTATCAAACAAACACAAATACAAACAGAAAGATTACACCCAACAGATTGCTCTACCACACTCTGGTCAGGGTCGAGCCCCACGTTGGGCACCAATTTTTAATGTGCAAGGTTTAATCTTTGCGGGGATGAGAGAGCACGTGGCCGTTGCCCCTCCCCCACCCGCGCCCGTCAGGTTGGAAATTAAACACAGACCCCGGCTAAAATAACAAGAAATTTAATACAACAGAGTGATAGAACAATCTGAATAACAACAGTATCAATGGTCACAACAATAAACAGCAATAACATGAACAAGACAAAAGATATACAGAGAAATACTGCTAAATGATCAAGGAGCAAACCCGCCATGTGTATGGCAAAAACCAACACCAGAAGAGAAAGTGAAAAGGCTCCGCCCCTGGACCTGACGCCATCATGGTATGAATAACCCGGCTGGAGATCCCTTCCCCCTCTCTCTCTGCTGGGGAAAACTTTACTCTATCCTGGCTGAACCAGGACAGAAGGTGGAACTAATTTTTGATTGGATAAATTAATGCATAAGGTCTGTATAACAGGATTTGTCATTGATGTTGGTTTTCATTTAAGTTGGTGGGAATTCTAAAGGTCACTTGAAATGTTAGTTCCTGAGAGCTGGATCTAAGCAATCAAGGTTGTATAAAAACAGATAGCTTACTTATAGTCTGGCAAAATGAATGTCTTACGCTGTCAATAGAAGGTGAATTTCTGCTATATAAGGAAAATGCAATTCAAGAACAAAAAAGAGAAGTTGTTCAGGAGGGTTCGCCATTTGCTGTCACCTCAGTTCTCAAATCTCAGGCCGGGCGTTGTGGGCAGGGCAGTGCTGATGCGGTGGGCTTCTGGCTAGTCAGAGAAAGTAGAAAGGTGCCCCTGTAGCATTTAGAGGAAAATACACTTTTTCACCAGAATCATGGAAACTGCAGTTTATGTTCATTAAGATGCATACAATTCAAGACTTACAGTATGAGAAACTAAACTGTAAAACACAGGTTTTTTTCATTTAAAGATTGAACCATGTTGTGTAGCTGTGATTCTTTGAAGTCTACACTTAGGATAAGGAGATGTTCTGAGCAGAAAGTTGGAATTGCAGGGGGTAGACTTGTGTCTCAGGAACTGAACATGTCATGCTAGATATTGCTGCAAATAAGACACATGACCAAAATGCTGACTCTTCAAGAGCATTTGGGAAAAATACTCTTTAAATTTGTACAGGACCTTGATTCTCTTTTTTGTCATCAGGCAGGATATGTGGTGTCTAAGAAGCTAAACAGCAGGTCATTATAGCCCAGTCTTTTACTGAATATCTACACTACTTTCAGACTAAATGTTTTCTTAACCCCTCTTACTTTATTGTGAGCCTGTCCTTTGTCAGATACATGCAGAAATCCAGTGCTTTAGTTACAGCAGTTTCCTGCTGTTGTAATAAATAAATAAATAAATAAATGGCCGTAGCTTAGCCTGGAAGTGGGTCCAAGACTGTAAGTTATGATCTGTCTTTGCACTGTTAAACCTCAGCAGAATTGAGACAGTAGCTCTTGCTATGCACGACATGTTGAGAAGGTGCCCTGTACCATTTCAGTAGCTGCAGATCAGGGAGAAAATACATGAAGTAATACTTGCTTTGCAAAAAATTATTAGCATGGAATAGGAAACAGTTCTCACAGCAAAGCTCTTGAAACATGTGTAACACAATCACAATTAACTTAGAACTGTGTGCTGTTTCTCAAAAGATGAGGAACTGAAATAATTTTAGATGCTCTAGGAATGAAATGAACTTGGATAGATAGGAAAAAATTATATGCTTCATAGTGTATGACTTTTTGTACTTGGGGATTACTGAACTTAGAATCTTGTCTGTTTTCCTATCCTTGGCAGTATTACAGGGATGTATTTTCTCATGAATGGAGTGTTCTTGAATAATTTGTGCTGGGAAGAAATGGTGTTTTCTTTCATGTCTGGCATGAACATTTTCTTCAGCTAACTTCTTACTGAAAACAAGTTCCCATGTTGCATTCGTATTTGTTCTTTGCTGAGTATGTATGATAATTTTTCAGGAAGTTTTGGGAGTAGTAGAACATTATATCGATAGTCTTGGGGGTGTGTGGAGAACAACAATTTGGGTTTTTTTTTTTTGTGGTTTTATCCAGTAATCAGTTGATTAAGCATCTTTTTCCTACTAGTGATTAAAATGACATTTCTTTCCCTACAAAAGCTGTTTTAACAGAAGTTCTCGATGTCTGTGTTTGTGTTTTGATAGGATTAAAATTATGGATCAGTATTAATTAATATTGAATGTGAGAATATAGGTAAGTTAGATAAACCACTCAGTTTTAAAAGGTGTCAAAACTGAGTTGCTGCCTTTAAGTAGGAGTTTGATGTGTAGGATGGTGCTAGTGCACATCCAAGTAAAGGAATTATTGATTAATATACAATTATGTGAAGGCTATAGTAAATAATGTTGCTAGCTGCAGTAGGAAACCACTAGTATGTAACATTAGAAGAGTTTTCTAAGGAGGCATTGTTTTATTCTCAGTTTTTTTTTTTTTTTTTTTTTTTTTTTTTTTTTTTTCCTTGGTCTCAAGTGCAACTAATAGTCTGCTTCTCTGAAGAGGAGGAAAATACTCTCTTGAAGCATTTTGTGAAAAGGTTTCTTAGTGGTGTAATGTATACTTTTCAGATTATTGGAAAATTAAGTTCAGTGAATGAGGCCTAGGAATAGTTGGGCTTTTTAAAATAAATTTTTAGTTATGTACCAGGTGCTATTTTAACTGATTAAAGACAAATGAGATTTTTTTTGTTGTTGTTGTGGGGTGTTTGAGAAATTAAATTGGAGAATAGCTTTACTGATATGGCTTAAAACAGATGTGGAAGATGGGAGAGAGAACTGGTTCCAAAGAAGTATCAAATAATATCTGATTATGTAATATTTTCTCATAAGTTTAGTCAAACCATTTTAACTATGAAATAGCTCATGTCAAGACAACTACTTGCAGAATTTATGCTGATAGTGACTGTCATTATGGAAAACTTCCAAAATCAGTTTATTTGTTATCTGCAACTATTCAGTTTACAGTCCTCTAAACCTTCACTCCTGTTGCTTATCTTTTTGGCTTTGGTGGAATTAAAATATGGGCTATCCCAAGTGAGTGGAGATTATAAAGTTTAGTTAATTTTTGAAGTCCTCATGGAAGAGAGCATGTAATTACATAATACTCCAGACCATGTATATCTGCTGTTCTACATAAATGTTTTACTGTAGGGTTGTTTGTGCCATAGTAGTGAAATATATAGGGCAAAAAGAAGTTAGACCGCACTGCTTCTATCCTGTGTAATACTGCTAGTTTCTGTGTACATTAAGTGACCCAACTTATTTGAAATTATTCTTGAAAAGCATCACTCATAGCTGGATTCTTGCTTGGGTTGAAGAATAGTAGAAAAAAGAAAGCTAAAGCTATTCTGCAAGATATAAATTTGTAATGGCATAGTGAAAACATATTTTTCTTTTAATAGGTTCTGGAAAACATTAACAAAACCAATGAATGGCTTGATCTTCACTCTCCGCTCCAGATGACTTGCCCTGTTGTTTTTAATGGTATGTGTACTTCCATTATGAAAGTATTGGCAAAACCTAAAATGAATTTAAAACAAGTCCTTGTAGCTTTTTGTTTTATTCACTTTGGCAGACACACTTATATTGTCTGACCCAAGTGATCTAATTTAGCGGTTTATTCTTGATCTAGCATTGCTTTACAGCCATGATAAAATGCAGTGTCAAATACCTCCTTGCTCATTTGCGGAGATACAGTGTGTCAGTGCAACCAAAGGCCTTGACCCTCTGTGACATGCTACTGAACATCTGTCTCACAAGCTTCATAGCTTTGCCCATCACTGTACCTTTCAAGATTATCTCATGCAGTCTGCTGAGGAGCAGGATTTCACTCAAGGTCTTCCTGAAGACCTGCATACTGGTGTGAAGAAGAAATAGAAAGTCATGTAGAATCTGTTACATGCTGGATGTATACCTTGGGCAGTGCTGTTCTCTTAGTCTGCCTGGAAAATTGTTCTAGGAATATCCTACATGTCAGTGATCTTGGTGACTTGCTGTTCTCTAAAAAGTTTAAATATAGCAGAAAATGGATAACATGGGATGTTTTCTGAACATTTACTTTTCTAAAGCAACTACTTTGTTTCTAACTTAAGCTTCTGCTGTTAGATGTCGTTTGTTACTGAAAATGGAGATGTTACTGCTGGAAAGCCAAATGAAGAGAAAACGTATAAAAAGGTAAATAAGATTTAACACCTTTTCACTGCATGTTTTTCCTTTCATATTAGTAGTTCAGACCTACTGTGTGTGTGAAATGTATCTCAGAACTGACTAAATATAAGAATAAGCAAAACATGCTCCATGGATTTTTTGAAAGTACTTCATTCCTTCTGTGAAATTGCAACACATTTCTACGCGCTGCAGAGCTAACCAGTTGAAAACTTGTTCAGTACGGCTTTAAAGTATACATTCTTCCTAAATTGATGGAAATTCTTTGCTGTTAGCATCAGATATACCTCTGGGCATAAACACATCAGAAATTTAGTATGGTAAGTTCCCAAGTGCTTTGAATGCTTATGTGATGTGTCTGGACTACAGACCTACCCTACCACCTCCTCAGTGCTTTGCCAAACAGTAGACTTTTTATTTGCTTTGTTTTTTAAAAAAGCAATGTTGTTTAATAGAGACACACTTAATGCAGGAGCATGCATCAACAGTAGCAGCTGTGTAGGGCTATTTAGATGTTGTAACAGCACCTGATACTGGTTTTGGTTTTGTTTTTCTGACACTGATTGTCTGGGACCACCATTATTTAGGTCCACCTAGCACCGTTGATAACTAAGGGGAGCTATAAGTGCACATTTTTCTCTACATGTTTACACAGCCACAGTGTTAGCTGCCAGATTTGATCATTTTCTTGATAGATCACATGAAAGAAGTGGTGATCTTTTTTTTTCCTAAATTTATGTGATTTGGCACAGAGATCCACATGCTTCTACAGTATATATCATGGCTTAAAGTTTTAAATTTCTGAGTGTTGCCTACAGCACTGCTGGTAAAGTCAAGGACAGTAATAAGCTGCTATTTCTTTTCCTGCCCCTTTTGTTGAAAGATACATTTTCAGTATCTGGGTGGCCTTAACATTCCAGATAAATTTCTCAGAAATGAAATAATAGTTGAGAAAATGCTTCTTCTTTTTTTTTTTCATTTTTAGATACAGGTTATGTTCAGTTTCCTGTTTATGACTTTAAAATATTGAAGTCTGAATTGTTCCTGACAATTTTAATATGAGAAAGAAAGAAAAAACTTGCAGTTTTATATTGCTAGACTAGACAAGACAAATCCTGGTAGTCCCACCATGGGTGAGTTTCCCTTCCCCCCTGTCATCTTACATGTTCTTCTGTGTTCCTGTTCAACTCTGAATTCACAATATTCCAGAGGAAGCCTTGTAAAGACTTCTCACCATGGCACAAATTCTTCTATGTATTTACTGGATGTACTTCTCTGACAAAATTTAGGATTCACAACCACGTTACGCTGGGAGATCGTAGTGACTATCATCTCGAATTCAGTCACCAGTTGGCTGTACTTGGATCTTATGCCATTTTAATTCTGGTTTTTATACTTACACCCTCAGTTGTTCTTTCTTCAAGATCTTGTGTTACATATGCCCCCATAGTTTAGTGTTATCACCAAATATCATTATGGTCCTGTTTTTTGTGATAAAGTTAATAAAAAAATTAATAAATTTTGATGACACAATTTACCCATGCAGGGCTTACGGGTAACCTGTCTTTGCCTGATGCTTTCACTTTTAACAATGTATCTCTCCCCTTAAGTCCTTACAAAATTTGCACTTTCTCTTAATTCTCACCTTCTTCAGATATTCCATTTAACATTGTTTCATATTTTTTACAGAATTTCAAAGGAATCGATTGCATATGTCTAGAAAGTTAGTTAAAGGGTGTGCCTGGCAAGACCTGTGTTTGAAAGAGGCATTTCACGCTATTTACCATTTAATTACATATTTTTAGGTAACTTTCACAAGATCTTGTTCTGTTGAAGTCTTGTTTACAGTTAAGACCATCCTGTCTATTATTACCTACATCAATTTTCTCTAGTCTTTTGTACAAATATCATATTTGCAGTTCTCCAGTCATGCACTATAGCACTTGCTTTATTTGGCTGGAAAATACTTGCAGTTCTGTCCTGTGACTTCCTTCACAAATCTGGGCTGTGGAAGAGCTTGTTTCCTCAGCTGGTACTTTTTCAGCTACTTGGGCAGTTCCTCTTCCTATCTACCACTGCCCATTGATCACAATGGAAACACTTCGGAGGCAAGATATTTGTGTAGTTCAGAAGTCAGACTGTGCTAGCTAACCCATTCTCATTGCTCAGAGGCTTCACTTCCTCTTTTGTTTTTTTTAAAAAAACCCACCATAATAAAGTTGAAGAAGCTTGTGCTTTTCAGCCTAGAAAAGCAGAGGACAGTACTTTGGCTTGAATTGTGGCACTTCTGTTTTTTTACTCTGCTCTGCTTTGACCTCTAATGTATAGCACAAAGGCAGCTGTATAACTGCTGTTAAGATGGGACTAAATTTATGAAGGGCTGTATGGCATGGCACCTATGATACTGGTGTGTAACTTTGACCTGAAATATTCTTACCAGTGATGTGGTCCCCTGAAAAGTTCTGGTAGCTGAAGAAATTTTGTCATGAGATGTGGGCATGGAAAGTTTAAATGGAGCAATGGTATATCTGGAAGCCGAATGAGTAACTAGCATGTACTTCAGAAACACAGACATTAGAAAGGTTCCACAATGTCAATTTTTATGTGGGTAATTCAAGGGATTTCTAGTGATAATTCTGGGAGATAATAATCTCAAAATGTGATGACAGATCCTGTCTCAACCCCACCCCAGGTAAAAGGTCACCCTTGCAAAGGAGAGAGATTAGTGAAGGAGGAGTTAATGCCATCCTGCCATCATCTCCTGTTGTGGGACCCACTACTTCCACATGAGGATTTGGCGGTATTAATTCTGTTACGAGCTGTGTGCTTTGGTCTTAACTTAAAAGTCTTACATGGGCTCTTCTCACAAAGCAAAATGCCAATAGGCCTCTTTATCCTCTCCCAGCAATTGTAAGTGGGCTTGATGGTTCAGGAGCTGCAGTCACTTTGTGGGGAAAAAGCACATCATACTCAGATGCATGCTGGAATGTCTATAACACCCAAAATAAAATGAAACCTCTAGGAATAACAGATGCATTGATACTGCCCTGCTGAAAGGTTACATTTTCCTTGTATGGGGTAGGGGGTGAGTGGGAACAATCCTCAACCTGATTTAAAAATCAAAATAGCCTTTTGTTTTAAACAATTTTGTGTTTTGCTTAATTATGTCTTGCATCCATTCATCTTTAATAGCATGCAAAGATTATGTCTGTGAGGCTTCAGTCATATATATGTATATGAATGTAAATTACATACAAGCAGGAAAAGTGGTGCATGGAAAACATCTACTTTGTGATGTAAAATCTAATGACTCGTAAGAGAAAAAAAAAATGTATTGGCTTTAGAGGCATTTTACTTGTGCCAGATCCAATGAGAAATAAACATAACTAATCAATATATACTAAACAATGTTTTAGTTGCTTGATCTGGAAATGTAAATATCCCTTATTGAGAATTGTGAATTATCTCATAAGAGAAACCTGTGAGAAAATTGGAGAAAATAGTTTCAAATAACTTTTTTTTTTTTTTTTTTTAATCAATCTGGTTTATGCAAGTGTAAAAAAATCAATATTTTTGTCTTGGAGGTAAGGGTGGTTTTTATCTAGTGTAAATGAAACTATTTACCCTAGCCAATACAGTCTGTCCCATTGATATAGAGATGAATGATATCTTACTAAAACCCATTTCCGTCAGAAGACAAATCGTTTTCTAATGTCTGCTTGAAGAAACACACTCTTCCTCTGGGGCATTCAGAAAACCTCAGCATTATTTTCGTTGTCATTCATTCCTCCTTACTTCTAAAGACTTGAGCTGGTGATGTAGGTACTACATTGAGTAGGAGCTGAACTGGACTAACTAATGTGGAAGGGACATAGAGCTGCAGTTGCACCTTGTGACATGCGACTCAGTTGCTGCAGTAGATGGAGAGTGAGTGGGAACTAAAGACTGATTAATCCACTCCTCCTTCTGTTTCTCCCACTTCATTCTGTAAATTTGCCTTTTGCATGCTGTTCATGTCAGGGTGTGCACTGTTCAGGGTGATGTTCTCATCTAGGGCAGCCTCATCTCTGAGGGCTAGTTAAGGTGATAAATTAATTTCTAGCTCTATGCTTAGAACAACTTCTGAATCATTCACTGGTGAAAATGAGTAATCCTCAAAATGTGCTTGTCTTTTCTCTGTGTGTATGCATCAAGTGTATTTTGGCTTGCTGTAACTCTTAAGCATAGTTTGGCCTTGGGAGAATTCCCAAAGGGATTACTTGTCTATTCATCCTGGGGGAAAACAGAATCTTGTTCATAATGGAAAAGTTTATTTCTAACCTCTAATATCTTTGCTGTGCAGTAGCAATACGTTCTAAATTATCCTGAATCTATGTAGATTAGTTATATGAGCTATTCATATAATACAAACATCTGAAGCAGTGGCTTTTTCACTGTTTTTAAGTTCACCTCAGTCACGTAAAAATGAACTTTCTCCAGGAGAGCATCTCTGACTTCATCCAGGATAAAGCTTTCCAGAATAGTAAGTGGTCTGTAGGCCTATCAGTTGCATTTATGAGACTTTAGATTCTTCCAGTGTTTTCTTTATGATTTTGTTCAACTCAGCTGAAATAGAGGTAGGTGACATCGTTATGTGAATTACTTAATCTGCATTTCTTCAATTTCCTACAACAGTCAAATTTTGGTCCACTTCCCTGGCAAAAGAAAATCTGACTTGCCAGCCGCATGAATGGTAAACAGCTTGGAGCTCCAAGAAAATGTCTTACATTACTAAAACTTTGTGTGAGGCCTTGCATGAGCATTGCTGCAGCATCCTTTCAGACTCTGAAATGCATAACTAGACGAAGGCAGTGGCATGTTTTTTGTTTTATTATGAATTATGCTTCTTCATTCAGTTCTGATTTTTAAATTTTTTGTAGCTTTTAGTTTTTCTGTCATTGTAGTTTGACATAAATGCTCTTCTGCTTTTTAATTGTCTAATATTATTTAGCCAACCTTTTTTTTTTTTT